TGTCGCAATCTGTGACGAAGCAGGCAAGAGCCAATGAGCGTTTGATATCACGGCCGTAAAACATGTCGTAACGCTTCTTGAAGGCGCATTTTTTTTATTTGAATTCATCACCAGCGCGCCTGAGCGCGGGATCGACGTTTGCGGTCGCTGCTGAGAAATGGAGATGAAGATCATAAAGGGTTGAATTTGGATCTGTTTCTTGCAAACAACGTATGGATACTAAAGATTTGGATTACATCAGGCTAATACAATTGATGTTTTTTTTTGTGAATTTATGTTGTGTTTTATTGGAGAAAACGCTTTTTGTGTCTCAAGGTAAATAAACTAAATACTACAAAATGGTTAAACATTAAACAAGGTATTTTTAAGGTTTTAAAGTGTAGGCTATTCTTGTTTATTGTTTACAGAACACTGTAATTTACTGTAAAGGCAAATAGGTCACCACAATGGCAAATCAAAAAATCTAAATTAAAGAATAAATCTTAAAAAGTGCTATGCCGTAATATCCCAGAATCTATCAAAGCATAACTATCACATTTATATTTCAGAGTTTACTATCCACTACGTAACCTTGTGTTTTGCATTTACTATGGTACACAACAATGACCCTAACAATTACACTTTATATTAAGTGGACAGTTCCTGAGGAGTTACCATGCTACACTAATACAGTTGCACAGAGGTTTGGGTTTTGCATAATACATGTAAGTTATGACAGTTTAACACATTGTATCAAGTGCAGAGTTCCTGAGGAGTTACCATGTAAGTACACTGTTAATGCAGTGTTGCACAGAGGTTTGGGTTTTGCATAATACATGCAAGTTATGACCATTTTACACTTTATATTAAGTGGACAGTTCCTGAGGAGTTACCATGTAAGTACACTGTTAGTACAGTTGCACAGAGGTTTGGGTTTTGCATAATACATGTAAGTTATGACAGTTTAACACATTGTATCAAGTGCAGAGTTCCTGAGGAGTTACCATGTATATACACTGGTGGAAAACTAGCTGTAATTCAACATAAGTCCTGCCGGTCATATAGTAAATACATGGTATACACATAGGAATCATCATGGTTTCAGTGTGTTCTTGTAACTACAGAATGGAAGACTGCGTGTGGAAGTGGAACAACTTGTGTGAATACATATTGTTGTTACAAAATGTAGTTACATAATGCCTGTTACACATGTGTACTTACTGTAGTGGAAAAAGTGTTGTTACCAATGTCCTGTTACACATTTGTACTTACACATACCTTTCCGTGGGTTGTTACATATGTGTAGTTACACAAATATTACAGTTGTAAATACTATGTACCAATGTGTATTTACACTGTAGTTACATACTAAGTACATATCTAGTAACCATGTAAGTTCACAGGTATTAGGGCCACTTAATATAAAGTGGGACCCCTAAAGGGAATGGAAAAGGACTGGAAGGCCAAGAAAACATTCAAAATATGGTGAGAAGTTTTCTTCTTTGTTTTACATTTTGTGTACATAATTATTTCCTGATCATTAAAACATTGCTAAAACAACAAAGCTGGTGGTGCATGGCCTAACTTTTGCACAGTACTTTGTATATATATATATATATATATATATATATATATATATATATATATATATATATATATATATATAAATAATACTGAATCTCCTGATCAAAACATGTGCGAGGAAGAAGCAGAAACAAGTGATATCATAATTATATAAGTAGATGCATACGTAAAATAAGGCGATCACCAACATTAAACAGCACACAAATCAAAACTGCCTAATGTTACTGAATGAAATGTCGACCCAGGACGAGCTATGACTGAGACCATTAGGGGTGTTGATGAACCCCATCTATTTTTTGATAATCGGTCTGAATCAGATCTGGATGTAGTCTTTTACAAAAATGTGATTTGCTCAAAAAGTTTTTTTTTTTAAAATTTTATGAAACTTACCCATATTCAAGTGTTGATAAAAAGAATGTATGAAGCTAGAACAACATTTTTATTTTCTTTTTTTTTTAAAGCAGAGGGTCTGTTATTTCTTTTGATACATTACATATTCAGATATTTATACAACGAAATATTCTGGGGGCCATGAAACTTTTGTGAAAATGATCAAAAACGCTGGCAGTGGCTGGCAACTTTTCCTTTTTTTTTTTTTTTACGCTGGCGGGGAAAGAGTTAAGTATTTGCCTATTTAAATCCAAACAGCAACTAAAATATGCCAAGAAATCTTCCTTGTCATGTTGCTAGCTAAGCACACGATATTATCCCTAGCATAAATTTTCTTCTGGATCAAGCTTAGACAGATAATATGTGTTGAGACTTTTCATTCCAACTGAGATGTGTTTAATTCTTACTGAATTACTGCTCTATGTAAACGTCACTAATGAATTGGCAAGGCTTTCTAATTACATTCATAACTGACATTTACAGACACTCCTCTTCCTCCTTGATCCTCAGTGAAGTAAAGGCTCCTTTATTTGTTACAAGCACCCATCCTCCCTCTGCATGTGATTGATGGTGAGTAGATGGGATTAATGTCTGAACTTGTCATTGTACCCAATTTATTGCATGAACCCTTCACATTATATATGAAGCATCATATGTAAACTTCAGATTTTCACCCAGCAAGTCACAGATGTGAGTGTGAGAAAATGTAAAGATTAATATTACATCAGAATTTCGATATGATAAACTGCATATATCAGGATCGGTCACATCTGCCGGTTTGTACGGATAAAGCTGTCCTTCTCAAGCCAGAGTGAAATTGTATCCTCCTCACAGCAGCCAACTGAACCCAATTACATTCCAGTGACTGGGACGCCCAGATAATACAGCATCCAAATCCAATCACACTGCTATACACACAAATGAGATTTGATGCACTCTTAACCGGTTTCTAAAGGAACCAGCCACTTGGACAGAACATGCTGTAAATTTATAAGAAAATAATTTTTCCATGTTTGAAATTAAGATAACTGTCTTGAGCACAGAATAGCACTTTTTGTTTTTTTTCCCCCTTGTTTTCTTACTGTACGTCTGGTCACCATGACAACATTTAGCTTCTTTGTTCAGGTGACAGGTAAGCTTTTCAAAGCCCTTTTCATTTCTCCTTTTTTGCTTTCAGGAGGGAGAATACGTCTATACAGAGTTGGCATCTGACAAGGTGTGTAGTTTACTTCTCAGTTTTGAACTAATCTTTAACAAGAAAGTATGTCAAGAAAATAGAAAGCATGTTATTAAAGGGGTGGTTCAGGATTTTGGACATCAGACCTCATTTCCAAGTTAGCCTGGGGGTTATTTATCAGTGGAGACAGTTTTCAAAAAATGTAATCCAGTCGTTCCAGTTGCATAGTTCGCCGGTGCTAGGCTATCAACGGTACAGCGGTATCTGCTAGCCTGCCATTAAAAACAGTTTTACCCACTCCACAGTACACCAAAAGCAAATAAATTATAACACCAGACTATCGATGTAAATGTCTGTTGAGAGAATAATGTTAGAAATCAAACTACCCTTTCATCGCATTGCAATAGTTATACTTTGTTCCCTGTATTTATTAGCACAGTCTACAGCAGCGGCGGAGTGATATTAAGTTGCATAAGCAACTGAGAGAGAGAGAGAGGTAGTACAGGTAGCCCTGACTGTAGTGCGCTTCTGTTCTGTGTTTACTTTTCGGCGCAGTACTACTAAAAGGAGCAAAGTAAAACTCCGCCGCTGCTGAGAAACTAGTTCCTGTAAATGTAATGCGATCATTGAGATGCAAGAGTACTTTGATTTCTAACATTATTCTCTCAACAGACATTTACATCGATAGTCTGGCGTTATAATTTAATTGCTTTTGGTGTACTGTGGAGTGGGTAAAACTGTTTTTAATGGCAGGCTAGCAGATACCGCTGTACCGTTGACTGGTGCTAGCCTAGCACCGACGAACTAACGTTATGCAACTAGGACTGGATGAAGTTTTTTGAAAACTGTCTCCACTGATAAATAACACCCAGGCGAATTTGGAAATGAGGTCCGATGTCCAAAATCGTGAACCACCCCTTTAATTGCTTTTCATGTTATTAACTCTTTCCCCGCCATTGACGGAATTTTCGGCTTTCTTTGTTCTCACTGTTAAACAGTAGGGGGTGCTATTACGCATCTTCTGAAAGAGTACAGAAACACATGCGAAGAAGATGAAGAAACAAGCAGCATCATAATCATGTAATCATATGCACATGTGAAATAACGCGATCACCAACATTAAAACTGCCTAATGTTACTGAATGAAATGTCGACGAGGTATAGGACTGTGAAGCTTTGTGGGTGTTGATGGACTTGATCTATGCTTTGATCATGATTATGAATCAGATCTGGATGTAGTCTTTGACAACAACGTGATTATCTCAGCTGTTATCTCAAAATGTTGTTTTTTTATGAAACATACCCACATTCAAGTGTTGATAAAAAAAAAAGTGCATGAAGCTAGCGGGGCTTGCAACTTTAAAAAAAATGGTGGGGTAATAATTAATACAGATTTGTCTTGTCCAGTGGGCTGTTTTTGGCCAGAAAATGCTGCAAACTGGACCAATACGTGATTGTCATGAGGAGCAACTATGTTTGCTTAAAAATGCAAATGACTTGTGTTTGAGATTTATATAGAATCACACTCTTGGCATGTTCTCTGGATGTTTTTTGTTTGTTTGTTTTTTACTACAGGTTTCTTCTACTGCTCATGAATAAAAAGAGAACATGGGTTTAAATAAACCGTTAACAAAGTTGGATAACCATTTTTCTGTTCCAGCAACCAATTAAACAGTCTATTTCCTCTGAATTAGCACTTCAGTAGGTTTGTCTGAATGTGGATGATTCAGTGTGCATCCAGAGAATTGGCAGCATCTTCAAACATCTTGAGATCCTGTCAGAGCCTTTACAAATTCAGTAACATAAAATATTTTTTTGCCTCTAATCCCAGGCTGTTTTTTTTGACACACAGCACAGAAACGCAGTTTACCTGTTTGACAGCATAGAGGAGTCTTCCATAGCAGTAGACCATGATGAGCACTGGTAAGCCCAAGCAGAATATAAACAGGCAGATGATGTAGGCATGGGACTGGGCCGTGCGCTGGGTCCATGATACAGAACAGCTGGTTCCCGCTCCCTCCAGCCCGTAACTACTCCAGCCCAGAAGAGGGGGCACTGTCCAGATCAAAGAGTACAGCCAGGAACCCCCTACCGCCAGAAGAGCTTTGCGATAGTTTGGACCACGTTTATGGTACATCGTCAATGTGCTGTAGCGGTCGTAAGAAAGAACCACCAAGGATATTAGAGACACGATACCTGAGAGAGAAAGAGGACAAAAATAGTAAAGGCCAAGGAAGTTAACTATAATGATAACACGATCAAAAAAAAAGAAACGTGTGTGTGTCCCAGTCTAAAATGCCTGTTTGAGCTGTTTTAACTGAAAGCAATTTGCACTGACATATCTTATATAAAATATAAAAACACATCAACCCAAGGCACTCGAGAATTTTAGGAAATATACAAAAAGCCTTTATTCAGTCATGGCTTAGGCAATTAAGAAACATGTAACAGATAACCATGTGCAGATAACCCAAAACCTTAAAGGACAAGTTCGGTATTTTACACTCAAAGCCCTGTTTCAAGATCGTTTCTGATGAAATAGAACAGTTAAGATTAAAATTTGGACACATGCTGCTGTCCCGAGAAATTTCGGTTTCGGAAATCCCAAATTGCTGAAAATGCTTTGCAACAGGTTTTATCGTAGTTTTTGTCCAAGTCAAGTCAAATAGAGTTGTTCAAAAACTACGATAAAACCTGTTGGAAAGCATCTTTTTCAGCGATTTTTGTGTGAGCATATCAGTGAACACCCCTGACCACTCGGTGAGTTTAACGTCTTTGTAAACTAAAGTTTAATGCGTTTCAGGAAGGATTGTTCCAGTGCACCTATGCAACCATTGTGGAGGTGGGGGGGTGTAACCACTGAAACCGAAATTTCTCGGGACAGCAGCATGTGTCCAAATTTTAATCTTAACCATTCTATTTCATCAGAAACGATCTTGAAACAGGGCTTCAAGTGTAAAATACCGAACTTGTCCTTTAAGGACACTTAGAAATGTTTGAATACAATTGGTTTAGATGATCAAACCAAACCAAACCAAAACAACCACTTTTCAATCAGTATTGCATTTCAAGTAGTTTGTGGTGTTTCAACGTGATCTCATTAGTATTTGTATGTGTTTTACAAAAAATGCTTTTCTACCACACGTGTAATTACTTATAACTAGTGCAGTGGCCATGAAAAATCTGTTTTTGTGTGTGTTGTTGGTAATTGTTGGTTTGGTGTGTTTGAGTGCTCATTACAATTACACAGCAAAAGTTCAGTGACATTTTTTTTTGTGCATGGTAGAAAGCAAATACTGACATGACATACAATAAATATGGACGTTCGTTCGTTCGTTCATTCCCCCAACTCCACAGTTGAGGACCATAAATGAAGTGGCTCTAGCCAGTCTGATACAGCTAAGTACTTTATGGCCATGCAAGCTTCAAAGAGATGAGCCTAGCTAAAGGAAGAACGTTGTCAACATTAGGTAGTTTGGAAAAGACGGATTGGTCCAGAGATGGCACAGCTCGGGAAACTGAAACCACAGAAACTGAGACTGTACATGTCAAAATACATAAAATCATCCCAAAACAATTATTGACGGACTTATAATCAAACATCGTTCAACTACATAATTATATATCATGTCTACAACCTATGTATGTGACTATTATGCTTAGATCGCATATAAGTCACGCAATTGTTATTATAACTATTAGATGTTTGACTGAAAGTGTTTCTTGCTTGCTATCAGTATGATCGTATGTTCATAATTCAGAAGATGGCTAGATTGAAATCTGTGTAAACTGTTTTGTATTCTTATAATAGGAATCATGTCTAAACTGTAGCCTCTCTGCTAGAGCTGGAGAGTAAAGAGATCACAGATAACTCATAATTTAAGATGAGAGGGGAAGAAAATGCCACTTCTCAAATAAAGACACTGTCTAATTGGTCAGAGCTCATCCAGGAGGCTGGACAAACATTTGGGTTTAAAATCTTAGGACACGAACAAAGCATCAGATATATACAGACGCTTATTAGCCATGGAGTATAGCCATGACGGAGTAACCAGACAGACGAGTACACATGTAGACGAGCAGATGAAAGAACCCAAATCAAAATCAGAAGAAAATGGGTTAAACAATTTCTTTCAAGTCATCTAACTACTCTCGTCTCACTTTTCTTTCTCTTGCTTAGTTTATTTTCTTTTTTTGTTGAGAGTCTCAGTTCTAAGTTAAGTTTTGCTGTAAAGTTTCATTCAACGATTCGACTGCAAAGCCCTCTTCCAACTTCAATGATTTTCCATCCATCCGTCAACACACCACGTGATTGGCCGCCCAAGACATCTATCCAGGCACGAGGAGACCGCCAGCCAATCAACGAACCAGGGAAACCCCATTTTATGCCGACAAACGGAATCCCCAAAGGAACGCAAACAAATGCAAATAGCCTCCAGACTCAAACGCAAATTGCCTCCAGACTCTTAGCTGAACTGGTGCTTTGATATAAAATGTAATAACCCGCCTAAGAAATGATATCTAAGAGAACTCATCTCACTCTTAAAACTCATTCTTTCCTTACTCTCTTTATTTCTGCAACTCGTATGAATGTGTGTGCGTGTGTTTGTGTTAGATATTAGTTTTATGTGTTAGAATATTCAATAAAGTCTTGTTTGTATTTAAAGAGAAGTGTTCTTGAGTTATGTGCTTACGAATTGAACGTCTTAAACTGCTGATCTAATGGTGTGTTCACACCGAACGAGAATTTAATTATTTGCGCGAGTGGATTACATACAAAGTCAATGCAAAGACGCGAATAGACGCATCATTCGCGCCGGGCGTTGCGAATGACGCGAATTGGGCGACGCGTTTGCCGCGAATGTCTTCCGCGCAAGTTGAAAAATTTGAACTCGAGCGAATGTTCAAGCGTCTAACTAGACGCGATAGACGCGTATTTGACGCTCTATTCGCGTTCGGTGTGAACACACCATAAGTTACCTTGCTAATAAATAGTGTTTTCACTATAGATTGGATATTTATATGCTCTGCAGAGCTGATAGTTATGGCCCGTTAAAATGAACGCTGGATGAGTCATTTGCTCGGCCGTAAAAAATAAATAATTATTTTGAATTCCCTAAAAATTAATTAATAATTCCCTTTGAGCTAAAATGACCTGTTTGACCCTTACATAACCAAGTATAAATCTCATCAAGTTAGTGTTTTTAAGCATTTTTTACTTTTATTCCAAAATAATAACTTAAGTTCTTTTAAATAAGTTCTTTAACTTATTTAACACAATTCGGTTAACATTGGTCACAAGCACGAAGATGTACCTTTAATTTCACCAAGCTGATCACTCAAAAAAAAAAAAAAAAAAAAAAAAAAAAAAAAAACACACAATCATGTTTTCAACCCAAATTTTTTTTTTTTTCAGCCCATTTCACATTTTACAAAGTGGTGATATCTAAGTGGGTGAGTTGTTTACTTACTTTTTAATTAGTCCTCCCATTAATGCCATCATTTATTCCTTCAGACTGATTCACGGACGTGGAACACGAACAAAAACAAGAGGTGGGATTTTTTTATGTGAATCTATCACAGCCAATCATAACCAATATTATCCAATCATAGCGCGATGGAGGCATTGCCTCCCCTTATACGTGACTTTCCCTCATTCATTCTCAATAATGAACCCCCTCCCTTTTTGGGGCCACTGTAGATTTTTAAAAGTCTTGGTTGATTTGGTTTGTTATTGTCTCCAGAGCACCAATAAAGGCCAAGTCCAAAAGGTTGTACAATGTGTCTCTCTGAAAAATAAGATTTCATTGAAAAAGTCACATAGGGACATGACCTATCATTTCATATTTGTCACCTCAAGGCTTTTGCCACAACAAAAATCCCTTTCAGCTGTTTCACCCTCTGCCTTTCCAGTACATAGACAAACTTTCTTTGGTCTATTCTTTATTATTCCGTTGTTTAGTCCCAAACTCACCCTGTGTCTATTCGCCAAATGTCTGTCTAAAATCACACCAACCACTAAACTAACCATGACTAATTAACCATACTAAAAACTCTTCCTCAAAAAAAGAAATAGTAATGAGTTAGCAATACAAGGTTGTGGTCAAACTATATCAGAAAAGACCACCATAAAAACCACACACTTAGAAAATGGAACATTTTCATTGTTATGCCCTTTCACGCCCTGAGATCTTGGTCCTATCTCTCCTTAATACGAATCAATTCAATCTTATCTATAATGAAAAAGTAATGAGCAAGACAGCACAGTATGAAGCTCTTCAGTCCACATTACAAACCTCTCAATAAGCACTCGACTGATGGACACCGGGATAAGTCCTCCGGAAAATGAAAAATGTAATGCACGGGTTTGTACAAATGGCCTCTCATTATCACAATGATGTAATGGACATGAAATCCATGAAATGTTATAGAATCAGACTTAATGAGTTTAGGTCCCTCATAATCAGCAGAACGTGAGACGACTTAATGTGTTGTTCTGTTATCTACTGAAGCCAATTTTAAGCCACAAAATGTTTAATTTACATTTATTCACTTAACCGTAACTTACAAATGAGGAATATAATCAGCAATCAATATTAAGTATGTTCACATAATATTACTGTATTTTTTTGAAGAATTACACTTAGCAGCAAGAAATTTCTGTCAAAATATTAAGACAAGTGGGGTGATCGGTTTGATTTATATGAGGAAAGGTAGAAATCAATAGGGAGAGAGAAACATGGGAGCAGATAGTGAGAGACAGAAAATAGAGGAAGAACACATAGAGTGTTAGAAACACAGTCATGTTTGGCTTCCTCACAGACTCAATACTGTGTAGCTCCTGCTGCAGAGCCCTGCTGTGAACTGAGGCTGCATGAGATACTGCTCAGGGGCCGTATTCACAAAGAATTTTAAGGCTAAAAGTAGCTCCTAACTGGCGAATTTAGGAGCAACTCCTAAAAATAATGGGCGTGTCACTCCTAACTTTAGGACTCCTAAATTTTTTCACTAAGAGTAATTCACGAAGCATTTTAGCCCTAAAAGTAGCACCTAAGTCTGGGACAGCTTAAAAGAAGTCGAGAGGACTCCTAACTCACTAAGACCTATTCACAAAGGATTGTAGCGCATACCACCGCCTCTCGCAGTCGTCCGGGGTCCGCGACACAAGCGGGAATGCTGCATTGATCTGCAAACAA